ATTATCTTAAGTATCATGCATATAGAGTGTGTCTGCACCTTGAGTAACTGGCAGGGCGTCTGACCAAAGTTGCTGATCATGCCTTCCAGAGCCTTCCGCTCCTTTTCATCAGTGATGGCATCCAAGTCCACGGCTCCTGCAACACCAAACAGATCCTCAATACACCACATTTACAAAGGCAAGAGTTTGGACTCCATCCTTCCAAACTGATCATGTTAAAAGCCTCCATGAGTAGTCTCTCTATCAGTGTGTAGAATTTGAGTAAAAGTACCTATGTCTTTTTCACATTATGACACACAGATTAACACCAAATATATTTTTCTGTTTGTAATAGCCAAGAATTTGATTGAATGTTTGTATTTTTATTCATCGTATTTCCTCAAACAAAACCGGGTCTCTGATAATGACGATGTGGTCGACACAAACAAATACAAGCTGGCTCCTGAATACAGGCCTGGGGTAAAAAAACAGTTCCATCTAGCCAGTTTTGCTCAAGGTATTCCTGAAAATGTTAAAAATAAAGAGTTTCTCTTCACTGAATTGCGAGGGTTTTTAAATTCAATGTTTAAATGATTAGAGCAGGTGCTGTCCTGTAGCATCCTGCATGTTGGGGAAGTTCTGGGAAGCTAATTAACGTTAGCTAAAATACATGTTCTGGCATCATAAGCCGTTCTGTGTTTACGGTCCCGTTGCTCAGGTTGTGTTTTATTTACCCTCATGCTAGACGAGTGAAGCTGCTACACCGTGAGTGCAGAGTACAGCTTTCTACATGGTGATGCTCTGCTCGGTGTTAAATTAAAAAGTCGCTCTGGGAAATCCAAGCTGTTCTGTTGATTCCTGTCAACAGCGGGTCCCTTCTCTCTACAGTATTAACAGCTTAATGCGGTAACTTGGCAGCGGCAGGCACAGACTGAGACAAGGTTTCATACTTAAATATGTCGAGTAATATTGAAACAGAGGGAACTGGAGGTAAATAAAGCTTCAAACAAAGGCTCATTATCTTCCGCAGTTTCGGTAAATAAATCCCCGTTCACTGTTTGAGGAAATGCAATTTGTCCCCTTCTGTTCAGGGAATCGCTTTGTAAACAAGCCATTCAATTTTATCCACACACACACAATACTGTATGAGGAAGACATTGTCTATAAAGACTGAGGAAACACCGTGATGGCTGCTGTGGATGCTTTACCCTCATAGGTGCAGTAGTAGAAGACGTTGAGGGCCTCCACCGCTGCAGGGCCTCTCTGTTTGTAACCAAAAATCAGATCGATCCACTCATGAAGGTGGGCGGATACGTACTCTGACTCCTGTCGCAAAAACAAACACTGAGGTCACAATGCAGCCGTTCCAAAAATACATACACGCAGCTACAAGGAGATATCTGTAGTTCTGTTAAGACTAGTTATAATCATGAACAACATTCAGCTGTGGGAATAATCCCCGTAGTAGTGGAACTAAAGCTGTATCTCACCAGAGCTTTACGGTGTTTGTAGATGAAGTCCTCGGGGGACTTGGCCCACTTGGGCAGAATAACGTCATTGACTCTTTCCTTGGAAATCTGCAGGCGACCCAGATCAAAGCCTGAGGTGACGGCAGGAAGAAGGAAGGGATGGAGAAGAACAAGAGGAAGGGACGAGACAATGAATGCATTAAATATTTAGAGGTACAGTTTAGAAAGATCCACTGAGTATCCTTTATTCAAGTGTTAAAATTCAAAAAAAACATCTTTTGGTTCCGTCATTTGAATCCACATTGATGTATACATATGTAATTATTAGTTATTTTTTATTTTGCTTATCACAACTACATAGAACCACAAGAAGGTCTAAATTTAAAAGAGTGAAGCAGGTCGACAGTTTGATAGTTGATCACCTAAAGAGCCACTTGTAGCTTGAATGTTTCACTAAATCTATACTGAGTATTCCTTGGAAATGATTGTTTAAAAGACATTGCATCATTTTGTGTTTTATGAGTCTCCTAAGATACGGTCAAACGTGGTGTCGGTTTATAATAGATAAGCCACATATGACTAATAATTAAACACTAGCTGTGCTCTATCCTGGAAAGGGGATAATAAACCTTACTGTACTTTGATGTGACACGTTAGCTGACGTTATCACCAAGACTTCTGCCCTGCTCTCCACTGGTTCTCTTCACATGAGTAATTGATTTCTTGATGATGGCTGTTATTTCTTCTAATCCTTTTCTGTTCCTGCACCACTCTGTGACAGCCAGCAGACTGACAGTTACAAAGCTGTGGTCCATCAAACCTCACCATTTTGGTTCTCCAGGAATTCTGGGAAGTAGAAGAACTCCGGGATGAGCTCCTTGACGTCGTTGGGGTTGTCCATGAGGGTCTGCCACGTCGCCGGGATGGAGTGGAACTGGCGGTCGGCGCAGTCGAACCTGGGTCAGAGCAGGATGGCACGGTTTAGGCAGAAAGCTCCGATCTAGTGCTTTACACAGATACATGCATGTCCAGATTCTGTGTCTAAAATCAACATCCACAATGCAGGCAAATGGCGAGAGAGGAAAGTAAAACGAGGAAATGAAAATGGGGGAGAAGGAGGTCCTCCTCACCGTCCACTCTGCAGCTGGATGTGCAGCGAGGTGAAGGGCTCCACTCTGATCAGGTAGTGCATCACCCCAGCAGCGTTTGAGTAGTGAGTGCCGTAGTGGAACCTGTCAATGGTGCCTGTTGGGTCCTCGAAACTCTCATATCTGATGGACAAAATTCAAAGATTTAGCTGTGCTTCTTATAAAAAAAAAAAAAAAACTGCTGACAAATCTCTTTATTATTTATAGGTCTTTAGGGTGGTAATTTAGCACAGGAGTCAAACGTACTTCTCTCTGACAGCCTTGGCGTTGCGTTCGTTGAGCACCGCCACTGGCTTCGACAGATCCCTGAACACCCGAGGATCAGAAAGGTCCAGCTCCTCCGAGGTGTAGTCAGCTAGAATCCAGGGAAACTGGACACACACAACAGATCGGCTCAAATATGAATATTCACTAATCATGTGTAAAATTAAATGAGTATTGAGTGATGAACGTACCACTGGGTACTGAGCCAGGTTGTTGTACGTTCTGCCTGCAATCGTGTTGAGCTGCATCAGGTAGTCAAAGTTGGAAATCTCCCGGTTCACCCATTTCTGTGGCAAAAGAACATTTGTATGATGAGACTGATACACTTTAAACTATGCTGGCTAAAAATCCTCTATTCTCTGAATACACCATGAAGACAAAACTGATCTCTGTAATGACCTGTGTGAGTCCAGAGGCCTTGAGGAGCTCCTGAGGTGAGCGGGTTCCATAAAGGCTGAGGGATCGCAGCAGCAACATGCGGCTGTAGACCTTGTTCCTCACCTATTAAAATGAGACACACTGTTTTATTCTATATGTTTGAAGTGTATACAGCATCGTAAAAGGCAAGAGAGGAAACTTTCTCTGGTCACTTTCAAGTTGAATACTAATATCATTCAACTTTGTACCAAGTTGTGCTTGTGGCTCGTCACCTCTTTTTTGAAGTTGAGGAAGTAATTGGTCTGGTCAATGAGGAAGATCTCCAAAGCGGAGCGGCGCAGGTTGTATCGTCTGAGGTGGACCTCTCGGATCTGAGACAGGGGCCATTTGAAGTCGTGGCCCACTCCTTCAGGAAAAAAAGGGGACAGTTATCGTAAGTAACAAGTTAATTATGTTTCCTCATCACCTCTCTGCCTGTCTGCTCACCCTCCTCCTTCTCCTGGCTGCTGTCGTAGAAGTAGATGTGCTGTGTGGTGAGTTCCAGGCGACCAGGCACCACGTCCACCACTGTCACCAGCTCACAGTCCTCCCACAACACCAGCTTCTCCTTCTGGCCTGCCTCCTCTGCTTCGACCCTGCAGGACACACACCGTTTTAAAATCTCTATTCTGTCAAAATGCTCTTTTGTTCTCTTGTTGTACGGTTGTAGTATTTGGTGACTGACTGGTTGTTGGCAGCAGCAGGGTCGTCCTCCGGCAGCTCCAGGATGTCGTCTTCCAGGTCGCTGACTTTGACTTGCTTCACAGCTTCCAGGAGCAGAGGCTCTGGGTTTACGCGCTGCTGATGGACACCTGAGCGAAGCAAGTGAGACAAGTGGGGATTAAAAACTGAGAGGAGGCATCCAGAGACGGCGCAGCAGCTAATATCACATGGCAGTGCGGGAAATTAACTTCCTAGCACGCTTGTCAAGAGCTGACAACCTACAAAAACACACCTGGCAAGAGCGTGGCATCTCGCATTTTTATTCCATGAGCTTTAAAGATTTAAACTTGCTCACTTGTGGATCAAATACGTGCTACAAGCTGAAGTCTAGACTCCTGTGGTTTCTGATACTTATTTTGTTGTCAGAAAGTGGTTTAACTTATACTGAATCTGGTATATGATGCATGGTCACTTTATTATGCGCAAAACCCTGTACGGTTCTGTTTGGACTCCTATAAATATAAAATTCAAAATGTTAAAAAGAAAAAAAAGCAGTTCTTACACAGCTCTGGCTCTGCAAATAGGAAACTAAGTGGCTTGGACCAATTCACACACACTATTCCCAGCATCTCCTGTGAGCTATTTACTGGACAAGATCATGTGTCAAAACAACGCACTTGATGCCGGATAGGAGATCACAGTGAGGATCATCATTACTTCAATAAGTTTGTCCTGATTGTCCAACTTGCTCACATGCAACTTAATGAGGAAAAATACACGAAGCAGAGTCGATCATCCTCCTCGTAAAGCACATGAAGGCATAGAAGGGATATAAGTTTGGCTTAAAGAGGATTTTCAAGGTCAGTCCTCTTTAATCTGTTTATCAGAAGGAGGCTGGATGATGACATACTGTACACACACTTATCCCTCATCATCACATCCATCCTCTGAATCCAAGCAGGTCCTTTGGACGCCAGGAAAATTTTACCACAATATTCAAATCCACATTTCCTTAAAATGACAATGAAACTGTCAGATAAAGCTCACAGAAGCAGTGTCGTCTTACCCAGGTTGTCTCTGAGAGCGCTGGCCTCTCGGTGAGGATCAAAGTTGTAATTACGGACCAGCTTCAGCCTCATGCGGGAGAAGTTCTCAGCACTGGACACCCTCCAGTGCATCTCATCCTGTTGCCTGTTAGACACAGTTACAATACAAAGCCAGCCATTATTTACATCTGCACGTGTTAGTTGTTTTGTTGGGTTGTTTTTTTTTTTTACCACTGCCACCGTTTCCCTCTTATGTTGGTAACTAAATATGCTCTAAAGTAGCAGCTTATTCTGATTAGAACTCTTATTACTACAGAAGATACTACAGTGGAAAATGACGAGGCTTGCAGAGCAGAAAGGGAGAGACATTAATGCGAGTACCTGTCAGCCCAGGGCCCTCTCTCACACACCAGACCTCGCCGTGCTGCCTTCCACTGCCTGAGAGTGGCGCTGTTCTGGCTGTGCTGCTGCTTCAACATGCAGTTGTAGCGCAGGTTCTCCTGGCGGCCACGGCGTGAGAAAGGCTCCACAAATTGTTCCTGAAAGATGAGAGGAAGGGGAGAAGTTGTACAGAGTTTTTAACAGAGTAGAAGAGCTGCATGTAGTTGTTATTATTTTAATACTGAGATCACTAACCTGGAAGCGGATCTTGCTCTCGCCCCTCTCCCTCTCTCTCTTATGCAGGCTGACCATGAAGGCCTCGTAGCACTCTTTCCAGTACAGAGCCATTGTCTCATGACCCTGGCTGAACATCTCGATTTCATACTGCTTCATGTACGGGATAATCTGAAGACAGATGACAGTGAAAAATTAGCAGAGTTGCATTTTTCCCTTAACAGTAAAATTAGCAACTGAAAATGTCTCGTACATATTTGTCGAGGTAGACGCGCCACTCAGGAGAGTTGCAGTACAGCTGGAAGTCCTCAAAGAAGGACGGGCTTCCGTTGGTGTCGGGGAGCTGAGGCAGGTGCAGCTCCATGTAGAGGAGCCGGTGGACTTTGGAGAGCAGCGTTCGCAGCAGTGGAACCAGGAAGGAGTACGTCTCCTCAGTCTGCTCCTGGATGGAGCGCCGCAGGATTCCCTCCACCTTCCCCAACAGGTAGCAGGCCTCGTCCTGGCTGGACACCTCCTTGGTCTGCAGGATGCCGTTGAGCTTGGCAGTGGCCATGGCACACACCTGGGACAGTGATAATTTATCATTCTGTGTTCAAGGGATTGTTTTTTTTTACAGAAAAAACACAAAAAAATATCCATTCAGCGATACAAACAAGAAACAAACTGAGGATAAGAGTTCACCTCAGGGTCTTCCTGAGCCATGAAGCCCAGCAGCAGTCTCAGTCCAACTTGTGAGAGCTGGAACCACTGAGTGCCAGAAGAGTACCACACCATGAGGCTGTCCATCAGTGTCACAGTTTCTTCCAGCACCTTCTCTGTCCACAGCGCTGGATTGATCAGGCCCTCTGCCTGCAGGAAGTCTTGTACCATGTGAAGCAACCGCACTGCGTTCTCTGTATGTTGTGGTAACGTAGCAGCTGACGCCTCGCGGTTATCACTCACTGCCCACTCCAGCATGCGCTCCATTAGACTGAAGGAGAAAAAGAGCACAGAGTGTAAGATGTTGTTTTTAAGCCCGTCTTTGGCAGCACTTACCATGTGTTCAGTCTCTTCGCTGACTAGTGCTGTTGTCACTTGCATAAAGGGCTGACCTGAGCTTGATTTGGTCGACAGGAAGCAGCAGCTCATTAGCAGTTCCCAGTTTGGTGAGAGCTGAGAAGACCTGGCCTCGCTCCAGCCACGCCGAATCATCAGAACCCTCTACGCCTCGCCACATCACACACAGGACGATCTCCAGCAGCATGCTGCACAGCTCCTCCTCTGCCCGCTAGAGGGCGACACCAGACCAAAAACAGGGTTCTGATTAGATCATCAAATAAAGCTTTATTCATCCATCTGGTGAAGACTGTAAAGCTGCAACCTCATAGATGCGTGGCTAGCGTTGACACACAGACTCGATGTCTGCGAGTCTCCGGTTGCAGCCTTCAGTACGTCACTCCCCTTCTCTCTTTCTTTACATTTCCCATCTCGCTCCACATTCACTACCCCACAGAGGCAAAATGCCAGAAAAGTAATAATAAAATTAATCTAAAAATATAAAGAACAGCTTCTGGTGTGGTTAGCAGTCTTTATTTTGATGGTTGCTGCTCTGTAGATCTGCTATAGCTTCAGTGTGATTCTCCCTTTCATGTGTCAGTGACGTAAACCGCCTTGTCCTGCATGATTTACATACTAACTCAATGCTGCTGAGAGGATCAAACACTTTGACACGTTCCCCAAATACGACTTTTAAAATGACACGTTCAACACTGTAACTGACGGCATCCTGCTGTGGGAGGAGACCGGTTATCTCTCCTCCACCCCTGAACCTCCAGTGAAACGGCGAAATGACGAAAAAGGAGCATCAGATGAAAGTCAGTCAGCGCTGGGCTCCCTGAGGTGGCAGTGACATTTCACCCACTGAGGCGGAAGCTCTCGCTGTTTAGCAGCTTTATAACACTGACTACTGTATGAAATGAGGACACGAGGCTGACAATGAGGCTGTGGTCAACTGTTTTAGGGCTAAAAATGCATATTATGGCATTTTTAAAAAAGTTTTCTTGTAACATACGCCAGCCTCCATCTTTGCAGGATGTATGCTTGATGCAACATTTAGGTTTATAGTTTATTGTCAGATTTTACCGACTGAGCTGAAACCACTGTGAGTGTTCCCACAGTTACAGGCTTTACATTCCCTTTATTTACTTTGGATATACAGTGAAGGTGGACTACAATGTTTTCTTTTTAACTGACATTACGTTTCAGGTTGTTTCATCATTATTCCTATACAGGAACAGACTATTTCTGTCCAGTGACTGTGTTTAATCCATTCAATCTCCACTTGCATCAGAGACGTTTAAGAGAAAACTCAACCATTCTTCACAACCACTGCAGCCCTGACATGTAGTTATAGTTTTAAAATGACATCAGCCAAGGTGGAGCCCTAAACGTACAACTATAAATTAAACTTGGCTTTATTAACCCTCGGTTTAACCTCAAGGAAAAACTCCCCAAAGCAAGTATTGTATGTGTCACTCCATTGTCCAAAAATATCCCACTGCACTGGAATACAGGCTCCTTGATTACACACTTGATTACGTGTTTGCTAAAAATTAAAGTTCAAAAATTAAACTACATATATTTGTGTCTCAGCATAGTGTGGCAGGTTTTTTTTAACTTGCTTTTTTCCCTATTTATATATCTAATTATGTGTATAAATGTATGTATTTGTATGTGTTTTTATTGCTGTGCTGACACCAAAAGTATGACCTATGGACCTTAATAAATAGGCTAAAGTGGTTAGATTCAAATCAAACCTTTTTACTCTTGGCCTTCATTTAAAATAAATGATTAATATTCTTCGATATCAACTGAAATTAAACATTTTATTGTAATGAATTTTTCAGCCCTATCATTTAGCCCTTCTGGTACTGGTCTGTTAATGGATTTGTTGAAAATAACAATGGCAAATGGCAAAACACTCCCTAACTCACTACCATACAGAGAAGATAAACAAAGCTGTCTGCCAGACTCATGTGATCTCCAATCTCACCTCAGCATTGTTGAAGGACTCCCCCAGTGAGATGTTGTCACTGAAGAGGAAGCTGTCTTCAGTCAGAGACGAAGTTGCATCTCGATCCCCGGAGACCCCTGGGAAAGGCTTGGAGGTCTCTAGCGGTGACGGAGTACTGGGCATGCTCCCCGGGGTCTGGCTGCCACTTTCCCCGCCCTCGTAGGCCTGCAGATGGGACAGATCCAGCGTCAAGCCCCCTGACTTTCCCACCACCCAGGGCTTGACGTGGAGTTGCGGCTCGGTCGAGGCAGAGGACGATGGCGTGTCAAGAAGCGAGATGACGTCGCCGTTCTCCAGGCTGTCCACAGAGCGAGTGTCCCCGATGCTGATCCGGTCATCCTCCAGCCGGTCCAGGCGGCTCGCGCTGCCCGCTCGCGTCCTCCTCTCCAGCGGCAGCTCCAGGCGGTTGGTGCCGCCACTGGTCCGACTCAGGTCCAGGCTACACGTGCTGATGGTGTCAGAGCTACGCAGCGGCAAAGAGCCGTCGCCACGAAGGTACAGCCGCATGAGGGTGTCCTGCCAACACTGCTGCCTTGAGATCTGGACGGCGGCATCCTGTTGGGACTGGAGCAGCTGGTACACCTGAAGACAGAGGAGGAGAAAGATTAAACTTTAATGATAACTGCAGGGGGAGAGAGTTATGTAACACCAAGAGGTAAAAGATAGGAAAGAAAAACAGTCTGCTAAGGATCAAAAAAATAATCAGAATAACTTCTTAAACTGGTGCTTTCTACATTAAACACTTTAGTAAACACTTTAGTAAACATCTGCTGCTTTACATGACAACAAGCAAAACGTACGGCTTTCATTGTAAAACAATCAAAGAAAATGCATCGTCATCAAGATCAGCCCCAACAGCGATTATGTACCTAAAATGCATCTATTTTTAGACGGCGGTTTTAGAAATTACAGAAAGCAGCAGCAGCAGCAGCAGCCACAGTTAGCTGTTCGGTGAAGAGCTGCAGGTCGGGAAATATTGAGTGTGTGTGTGGGTGAGATGTAAAATAAAAGAAAGGAGAAAGGAACTAGAACGTAAAGTATAAATCATCTGATGCTATTAATTGATCGCTGGAACCCTCCATCACTTCTAGCGTCTGCTGTTGTTCGATAGATGTAATTAATAGCGCGACTGTCTGCAGGTGTAAGTGCAGGTGTTTCCTCACCCGCTTGCAGATGATGAGCCGTACGCTGGGTCCGGCCCGGTGAATAAGCTGGACCAGAGCCATCAGGTCCTTGTAGTTCACCACTTGATCTGCAGATTTCAGACACACACACACACACACACAGACACCCATAAGCCTTAGCATTTATGCAGCTACAGTATTGATTGGTACTTCCATGTGCTAATGCTACCGTCTGTTTTTACCCCTAATGACAGGCAGGGGAGCAATTCTGCCCATAGCCCTCAACCTAAAGCCTGTTCCAAAGTATTTGTCAGACATTTTTTAAATTTCCTGACAGGTATTCAGTCCTCAGTGCCAGCGCTGTACGACGTGGAGTCAAATTTAAGCTGAATCCACGTTACTCTTCTATCTAAAGAAAATGACTAATGAGTATTGGCTGAACAAAATTGATTACATTAATTCAGGGAGCAATCACGTAATGGCACTGGCCCTAATGGACAACAGAGAATACGCATCCCTGTGAAATGACCAGTCCTAGGCTTTTAACCTGGACTGGATCTTCAGGATATAAAGGGAGACAGCGTATGTAGTATGGACAGGCCTGCTGCAGCGATTATACATAGACAACAATCTTTGAAATCTGATCATTATTTGCACAAAATAATTCTAAGGTTACACGAGTTCAACGAAAGAGCAGAGTAAAGTAATGTAAGACGCACACACTGACCTGTGTGGAGGACTTGGTTGAGCAGACAGCGGATCAGGGTGGGAGTGATGTGAAGTTCAGAGAAGAGCAGCGACAGACCGGCGTAGCCTGCCTCCCTCAGCCGCACACGCTGCTTGTTCTTCTCATAGACACGATCGCAGCGCAGCATGCGCTCAAACAGCTGCACAGAGGTGTTGAGTAGAATCAGTAAATCCACATGTCTGCTTGGTAGAGTTACCAAAAGTCACTTTGACGTTTGTGTGAATGAAATGCGTAGGCTCTGTACCAACACTGTCAGAAAACTTGAAAACATTAAGTTCAATAAATGAATCTCCACACTTGCACTATAAATTAAACCTTTGTGAAGTTCCATGACTGTTGTTCTGGCTTTTCTCACTTGAAAATCCACTATTATGTCCAGTATACCCCAGGAATTACAGAGCTACTGGTGGCTTGTTTAACACTAATGAGCAACACCATAGTGGCAACAGATAATGATGGGAGGTCAGGGTAGCCGGTGTGTCCCAGGCGTATCTGCCTGTAACCCACCTTAAAGACGAGCTCTCTGAGGCGATCTGAGTGTTTGTTGTTGAGAAGGAGAGCGTAGCAGCAGTCGGCTGCCCCGGGCTCAAAGAGGAGCAGGAAGAGCTGGTCCCTGGCTGGACTGCTCTGAAGAAGGCTGAGCAACAACTCCAGGAGACCGCACAGCTGCAACACACAACCACAGCTAATATTAACCTACAGTACATCACAGCGACGGCATCTTTTTACTGCATTTTTAAGGTTGCTTGTTTCAAAAGACTTTTACCATGTATTAAGAAAAAGATAACACATTTAAAAACAGCTAAATGGTCTATGACTATGCATTTAATGTACCATGTGACTCAGCAATAACACAGTTAGCCGAAGCAGTTCCATCACAAGAGCAGAGCAGGAACATGATTAAGCAATAAGTAAATCACAGAACATTTATCTGCAATAATGTTGATATTCTATGGATTGATTCTGTTGTTTACTCATAATTAAAATGAAAATATTCTTTGGTTTGTCATTTTTCTGAGTTGTATTATTGTTAATATCAGTACTTTGGTGGTTTGAACTGTTGGTTGGACAAAACATTACATTTGAAGACGTCACCTTGGACTCTGATGAGGATATTACTGATCAAATAATTGATTTATTTAAAAAAAGACATCATACTGACCAATATCATTGTGTAATGCAGCTACTGTGACTTATTTTATAATTAAATAATCATTAGTCACAGCTCTATACAATATTTATGTCTATACATATGCAACACCATGACGATGTTTAAATGATGTTTATGCTTTGATAAAAAAACATTTTTTAAGATATAAATTATTAAGAACGGCATTTGGAAACTTAATTTGGCTTTCTGAATGAATAAATTATATCAGAGTCGTGACAGATGCCAAGCGGTAAAGGAGGATAAAGTGAATATATTGACCATATGCTCAGAGTGGGTGATGTAAGCCTCCACACACGCTGATCAGTCAAACCTTTAAAACCACAGACAGCTGAAGTAAGTAACATTGATTCTCTTGCCAGAACGGCACATGTCTGGGGGTGGGATATATTAGGCAAGAAGAAGTGAACACTCAGTTCTTCAAGTTGATGTGTTGGAAGCTGGAAAAACGGGCAGCGTAGGGATCTGACTGACAAACTGTGGTGGGTCAGAGCATCTCCAACAGCAGCAGCAGGTCTTGTGTAAGATGCCTGGGATGCAGTGACTAGTACCCACAAAAGAAAGATGCAACGAAGGACAACATGCGAACTAGCATCAGGCTCACGGGCGCCAAAGACTCCCTGATGCATGTGGGGAGTGAAGGTAGGCCTGTCCGGTTTCATCCGACAGAAGAGCAACTGTCACATAAATTGAGCATCACAGCTTCTTGTATGTGGAGCTGCACAGCCACAAACCAGTCAGAGTCTCCCTGCTGCTGCCACCAAAAGCTCCAACAATAGACACGAGCATCAGAACTGGACCATGGAGCAATGGAGGAAGGTGGCCAGGTCTCATGAATCATCTTTTCTTTTAGGCTATGTGGACAGCCAGATGCATTGTGTGATGCTCTGGGCAATGTTCTGCTAGGAACCTTGGGTCCTGCATTAATACAGATGTTAGTTTGGCCCGTACTACTTTGCTAAACCTTGTTGCAGACTATGTGCACCCCTTCATGGGAACAGAATTCCCTCTAACAGCAGAACAATGCGTCCTGTAACTCGGTAAACATGGTTCAAGAAGGGTTCAAGACTTCAGGTTGTTGAGTTGGCCTTCAAATACAGCAGAGTCCAACGCATTGAGGCGCCAAATGACAATTTCCAGAACTTAAAAGATCTGCTGCCAAAGTCTCTGTGCCTCACAGGACAGATAAGAGGTCGGTCGAGGCCTCGGAGGAGAACAGTTGTTTTGGGGACACGAGGAGGATCTGCACAAGCTTCGAAGTGGTTTTAATGTTGTGCCTGATCAGTGCAAGGACGTCCAAACCGACAAACAAATGAGACGGGGCCAAAGAAAAGGAGAACGGTATGACAACAGGAGGAAATGGATGTCACCAAGTCCTGCGAACACTCTATCAGCCAATAATGGATATAGCTTACAGAGAGGAAAAACTGTTCAAAAATAATGCAAAAAGACAGATGCTGGCAAAAAACAGCTGCCAGGCAGGAAATGAGCAGACAGCTTCCTGTACAGGCACTGCTGCACTGCTGGAAACTCGAAATCCTGCAGAAAAAGGTCACTTCGTTTCACAATGAAATCCTCTGATGGCAAGAGTTGTTGGGATTAACCGGTTTCACAATATATGGGTCATCTGGCAAGTGTACACCAATAATAACTTGACCTACTCCAAATTTCTTAGACGCCAGCCTGACACATCTGAAAGTAGTGTTTTTTTCTAGCTGCTGACTGGCTTCCTGGAAGGCTGAAAAAGAATTAACCTTGGGTTCATGGTGAATACTGTACTCCCAATGGTGCAATTTAGGGGGTATTCTGCTCCTTGTTGGGGACAGTCTCATTAAGCTGAGTGGCAGAGTGAAACAGAACAAGCAGCCAGTGATGATTTAGCAGCAACGCAATGGAGAAAATAGCAAGTTCCTACCTCTACATGTATTTTAAGATCTGAGGATGCCTCTTACCTGGTCTTCGTCTCCGATTGCAGCGATATATCCCAGAATGCTGTGCATCTCCTCCTGTGACATGCCCTTGCTGATGTAGTACTTGATGAGGCCGCACAGAGACGCCCGGATGGTCCGAATGTCATCCTCGCTCAGGTCACTCTCTTTATTACTGTTCCTCCTAAAGCACAGAATAGACGGCATTTTCGTGAAATACTTGGGGGTAAACAGAGACGTATGAACTTTGGAGAACCGAGTCTTACCCATAATAGAGGCGTATTGTGTCCAACAGAAACTGAACTCCGTATTTTTTCCTGAACTGCTTCCTGTTGTCTTTGATGACAGTGGACATGTACTGGATGTGACCTTCATGAGGATAAGGAGCACAACTGTTATAATCAGGGACACACTCTGTACTGATAATACAAATATATGAGTAGAATATAGATATAGATTGACTTTGAAATAGAAAATATGACGTATTTAAGACTGTCTAGTTCCTTTTTTATCTGTATTCTTTCCACTATCATTCAACCTTTACATTAGGATTACAAACTAAACCCTAGTCTAAACAAAGGAGTCTCTTTCAGTTTGTTTTCTTATCTTGTATTCTGTTGGTCATCTCATCTAAATGCACTTATTGCTTGGTGGAGAACTAGATGAGGAGATAAGTTGTCTGATTTCCCTTCTTTGAATCTGTCCTGATGTAATCTTGGTCGGTCACCGTTTAGCGTAACTCTTATCGCAGGCGTTTTCAAACACAAACATGTGAATCTGACCTATGCGTAGAGGGAAGTCTCCTTTGTTCCAGATGTTGAAGTTGAACAGTAGATGTGTGTGGAGCTGCTGCAGCAGAGCCTGGTTCTTCTCGTATGTCACCTGCTCTATCAGCAGCTGCATCGCAACCAGCACGCTGACGTCCACGTGACCCGCCGGCAGCTAAACACACACAGCAACAAAATATGTAAATACATACGCCACTATAACTTCAAATATGACCACATTTACCGGCGCAGATGCAAAATGATGACACGCAAGAGGAGTCAGAGAACAGTAGGCTACTCAGATGATATTAAAATGAAGCTGAGAGATGCACATAAACCACAATGAGGCTCATTAACGAGCAACGTGTCACCCGTAACGCTGTCGGCTTAAACAGATAAGGAGCATGCAAGGATAGGGAAACACATTTGTGGTTTATTTGGATATTTACCAGTTGCAGGGTGTGGTTACTTTCCCTCGAGCAACTATTACCGCATCTAAGACATTTTCGCTTTATCTAGGTCTCGGTGGAGGCTTTTATTTTCCCATGGTGTACAAGCTGACTCAGAGGTATTTCCAAGCCCTCGCTAAACAAATAAATACAGAGGCACTTGCACCAGACAAAAGACAGGGGAGGAAAGGGGGGAGAAAGAGAGCTTAGGATTAAAGAATGAGCACATGAAGGACATGGACAAAGGAGAAGAGAAACACAGGCACACGGAACAAATACAGTCGGACCTACAGACGAGGACAAACGTGTCTGAGGTGAAGTAATTCTGCCGGAGGAGGTGCAGAAAAATTCACAGTTCTAACACCATTCTCATACAGCGTGAGTATGAGTGGCCTTTTGTCTCACAAATGAAATGAAGTCAATCAGAGACCCTTAATTCCTTCACGACAAGCCCTCTCAAAGTCAAACTAATCCAGTTTGAATGGGGTGAAAAACAAAAGAGGCTTATGTCCTTCTGGCGTGGTCTCGTGTAATTAATGCATTTTGTAAAACACACTCAATTTTGAGACACTTTTTGTGCATCCGAGCCCGAAAATGCTTTTTAAACTTCCCTTAAGAGATCTCAATCCTTTCTCCATTTTACATAACTGCAGGAAAGAAAATGGGACACAACACTTCTGCTAAAAAAAATAAAAAACCAAACATCTGAGCTGAAATTTATTTGTGTGACTCATGCCGGATTTGTAATATTGAACACCTACGTTCACCGTAATTAGGTTACTTTAGATTCTTTAAAAGGTCACAACTTGCAGATTCATGTTGGTGGTGTAAACTTCTTCTTCTAATCTAAGCTGTAAACATTTCAGTACAGCAAACTGTTCTCCTCTGACATTTACAACAGACGGAAATAAAACAAGTTTGGTAACGACATGCTTACAGACGTATCTGTTAACCTTCTGAACTTCTTTGATTATCCACGATACAAAAAATGAACTAGAATCAACATGTCTGACACTTTCTAAGTGGCCACAGAGAGAGGTTACAAATCCTGTTTAAAAAGATAAATAAATAAATAAATCATGGCTCTACAGACTACAAACACATGCATCTTCCAACAACTTGCTGACAATGTGCTCCTCTGCACAGCATTTCAAGCCATGCTGCACTGATGCTATTGATCAAGCATGTTTTATTTTGCTCTCAGTCTCTCTAATCAGCTACAGCCTGCAGTTCATCTAAAAAAAAATCCCTGAAATGCTAAAAACATGAGGCATGTTGAATATTTATCTATATTTATTTATTTTTTGGTGACATATTCAAACGTTTCAGTCTTAGATTTGTTTAAGTTTCCTGAGGAACGCACGTATTTTGAAGGACAGTCAAAAAGTTGAAAATATTTCTGTTTTTACAGTTTTTGCCTCGAACAAACTTTGCTAAATTTTAATGCTTTTTTAAAAGATAACACGCCATTTGAACCTGCTGGCAGGCTTTGGGGATCAGAGGGTTAGCTCGAGGTACTGATCCATGTGAGTTAAGTAAACATAAGAGATACTGTCACTGAACCTGATGGGTCTCTTTCTGTGCATAGCGCCCGTAATTCAACCCTGACACACTGGTAATATTAGTCATGTGCAAGATCAGGTTTGAACAGACCTTCTGCAGCAGAGCTCCCAGTGTTCCGACACCATGCGAGTGCAGCAGGTTCTCCTGGTTTATCAGGTGTCTCTGTAGGAAATGCTTCAGCACTAACAGGAACGTGGCCACCAGATTCTTCTCCAGGCGTGCCTCTGAAACAGAAAATGAATATACATTTATTCCTTGGCTATTTTCTGACACAATGCTCACAATACAATTGATAGAAATATAAATGTATTCTTGCTGATTGTGGCAGAACAAACCTGAGGCCCTGTTAGATGGGAGAATGACCCAATCTCCATCCGCTGGTGTGGTCACATCAGGAGTGATGAAATCTGATGCAGCTGCAGGATCGCTGTTCTGTTGATCAGGGGTCACCAGGGCCAACTGCTCCAGTACAGGGATGAGGACTGGCAGGCCGCCGACACAGTTGATCATATCCTGACAGAAATCGATACACATTCACATAGCATATATAGCATGTCCATGTAGTTTATGTAGAGATATTCCTCTGTGCACAGAGCAGTGACATGACAGCATGAGCTGCACCTTGATATCCCAGTTGACCACTTTGTTCCCTGTCAGACGTCCATGCAGCGTGTTTGGAGACAGGTCCAGACAGATGGGGTTTCTACATGCCTGTTAACACACAGAGAGCATCGCAACTTTATATTCTGCAATTAAAAATGACAAATCAGGCGACATGATTATTCATATGGATAAAAATCGACTGGCTACTTTAAAGACAGCTCGGGAAATAACTTCCTGCTACTGTACTAACCCTCCTATTTTACAAAGCCACAACAGGACGAGTCTGCATCTCTGATTTAAAACACACTGATCCAACCTCTTCAATCACATCCACTGCATCCTATATGAAGCTGATTTCTAAGCTTTAAGAAAGAAATGCTGAAGTGGTCCAATCACCTTGGGCGAGTAGTGCAGCAGCAATTTGGTGGAAAGATCGCCGAGTTCTGATTCTTGGGCTTTAAAAGGAGAGATGCAGTTTGGACCTAAGCAGAAAAAAAAAAGAGTCAGATTCTAAGACAGAGGAAGAAAGACCAAATACATTCTTATACTTTCTTTTACTGTAAATTATGACTTGCTTTCTCTTTCATTATTGCTATTCTCACATGCATTCCCTGCTAACAGTGTTGCTGCCTATCTGTTCTAACAAACACCCTGCATTGTTCATCCCACCATACTTTGTCATTTTTAAACCTCTCCTCCTCCTCCTCCTCCTCTTCCTCGCCCATCATCTCATCCTTGCTTACCAGCACTACAGATGGCTTTAATGTGGTTCTGCTGCAGGGGTTCATGAAACACCATGACGCTTCCCAGCTGGCCCTGCAGGGACGTGGGGCTTCCCCACTCACTGTCCTGGGTGCCTGCTGAGATGAGCTTAGTCACAGATTCTGGCTTTCCTCCCAGCAGCCCTCCCCAGGTCTGCGACGACAGGATGCCGCCCAGTGAGGAGCGAGTGGTGGGTGTGGTGGCGGAGGAGAACGGAGGGTCTGGGATCTGCGAGGGTGGCGGAGTGGTGGTGCGGTGGCCTGCTGAGCCGATGCAACAGGAGGTGAAGGGCTGTGGGTGAAGGGCAGCAGAACAATACAGACGGGTGAACAAAATGCTGGATGATGTGCATTTAACACACCTAAAGTATATTAGAAACAGCAAAATGTGACCAAATGAAGTCACACAGTCTGGTTAGTTGACCAAGCTGCCAAGAAGATGACTAATTTTTAAAGATAAACCATTAAGTTCAGGCCTCACCTCTGTCATTGTGGGGTACTTGAGGGGGGCAGATAGTTTCTGCTGTCCATCCACATAAATGTAGACAAGACTCTGTCCAAATGGCCTCTTTCCTGGTACATGCACCACACCGATGCTGTGCTGTGGACAGAAATTCAGACACAATCCTTTGATCCTAAGCCACTGCTCTCTTTAATCACTCTGCAGAACATCAGGTTAAAAGGTGTTAATCTTCTAAATAAGAGGCGCCATTAGTGTTGCCACGCTACAATATTCAGATCTTTCTGCCTAACACTGGAAGCCCTTGGAAAGGTAACAGAGGTTCAGATTTTAGTGCTGTATTCAGTGCTTTGGAGATTTCTATTCTGCCTACATTGTCACATTTCAGTGGCACCACCCTTTCAGTAAATAAATGTCAAAAAATGATGTCATTGAACTTGACTCACCCAGAGGGAGTCACAGAAGCAGTAGTCAGGCAGCATGACAGTGACATACTCCTTCTTTGTGCATACAGCCACCACCAGCACACCCGCTGAGCTAATAAAGGCCTCAAACCCCGTTCCTCCTGGGGTAAAAAAGCTGTGCAGGATAAAAAAAACAAAGGATTTAAGTAAATAACATACGTCTGCTGCTAAAGATATTTGGCTGTCCAAACCTGATAACTCTGGGAAATATGTAAAGAACAGACAATATGGTAATATATGTGCCAAAATGAAGGTTTGATGACCCTAACACAACAATTTCATAAAGTCATGATCTTGTGTTCTTATTTTTCAGATACCACCTTTAACATTGGTCTCAGCAATAAATGTATTACTCATTAGTCCTTCATAGATGTCTTATTGTCTCACCTGTAAAGCTGTTTCCTCTTGTCTTTGCTGGGTGGGCCCAGCTGATCCTGGTCCAGTGACAACCAGGCGAGGAAGCTGAAGGCAGACCCCGGCCAGCGCTGCACTGTTGGAACTACAATCCCCGCCATGCTCGGCGACAGGTCAAAGTACTGCATGGCACTTTCCAGGCCCTGCTTGCGCACCATAGCCAACAGGGCTCTCAGTGCAGGGCCTACGTAGGGATGTGCTTGGTTGGACTCTGGAGGCCTGAGGAGGCGCAGGAGTCCCAGCAGTTCCCTGGCACTCAAAGACTGGGAGCCGAGTGAACCCACTAATCCCAAAAGGCTTTCAGCGCAAGCTCGGTGTAGCCGTTCGTGGCGCTCCAGAGCAGCTAGAGCTCGCATGACCATGGCGGCGTTGACGCAAGTGGCACGGGTCTGGCGGTTGAGGCAGCTGAGGCGGCGGAGCCAATCTGCGGTGAAGAGCTGCAGTTCTGATGAGTCCAGCTCTGGGAGCCACTGGACCAACAGCAGCAACGGCTCCACATTACTGATGCCCAGGAGGCCCACTGAGGTGTGCTCCCCCTCCACTGCCTGCACATATAGACAGCAATAAAGATGTAGAATACACAGAGGTAAAACACTGCTGATTACTGGATTAGTTAACTAGAGTAATCTCAGGTACATCATTCAAACATCAGGATGGTAGACAAACCAATAAAAGGTAAACAAGATTTGCAACAAACAGTCATCTTTCTCTCACCATGTTCATCAGCTCTTTGAGGAGGTGGCGGGATGGCTGGCCCAGAGACGTAAGCACTTCATACAGGTGATTGTAGCCAATTCTCTCCTTAAAAACCTCCTACAGGGGCGACATAAAAAGCAAATGTAAAGATATAACGCCATGGCATCTGAGCTACGATACATAAGCTCCTTTAATTGCATAATACAAACAAATTTAGTTCAAATCCTATTGCTTTGGAATGCATTTTATGGTTAAACCTAACAGCTCACATTCCCTTGTCTTTATAACTTACTTGTGGTGTACCTCAAGGCTTGATTCTGGGCCCTGTTCTTTTCTCTATTTACTTAGCAACATAATTAGTAGACATAAGACGTTGTTTAATTTTTATGGAGATGATACACTCATATCATCTTGTCAAAAAGATTCTTGTACTTCAGATGTCCAAAATGATTGTTTTGAAATTATTATATGTTGCATATTTGGCACTTAGATAATTACTTGCTCTCCAAGCCTGATGTCAAAAATTTAAAAAAGCTTTGCAACCAAAAACTAAATCCTTTGCCATAAATTTATGAGACATGTTTGGTTCAAATCTGAAATTTGACAACCAAGACTTAGAAGTATCTGCAAAATCTAAGTATTTGTTATTCGTGCTGTCTTTTCATTTTCTCTTAATTACTTTATTTATGTCAAGTTCTTAGAAAAAAGCACAAACACACTCTGCAATAAGTCCAAAATGTATCTACTTGACTTTAACTAGTACTATGAGATGAGAAAACATTCCCACAATTTCATCTTTCAGCTTAAAATCTAGCCCTTTAAACCGGCATTTAACGGATCTGTAGGGCTGACACTGTTAAATACAATAAGAAAACTACAACAGAAGTAAAGTTACAAGTATGTTTAGACTCTCAGCCTCCTCAGATTATGTCAGGAGTTCATAAAAATGTCAAACATCAGGAATGTAGCAAAAAAACAGAACAAAAATGAAAACACTACCTTAGCAGCTGGCGATTTGTGCATCACTGTTGTCAGAGCTTTGATGGTTGCTACAGCAAGGGAGTCTAGTCGCCCTTGAAACACCTGAAAGAAATAAACTTCTCAGTCACGACAGCTAAAAACACATTCTTTCAATGGGTAAAGTTGATGGTAATAGATGCCACAAGTCAAATCTTCTTTTACACCAGATGGATGTTATTTATATGGGCAACAAGCATGCAGGCAGCTTAAAGTCACAAGGTTTGTAATTCTGAAACAATCAACTCATTTAAGACTCTGAAAACAACATGCATCACATTATAAAGAACAAAAGGGAAACTTAGGTAGATGCCTTGGAGTTTGATTCAATTAGTGTTTGCAAAAAAAAGTGAGTAAAATCATTGATGATGGTTAGAACCCTGTTTGTCTCTGCAGTAGGGGCTGGCATCAAAACTTGTACTGCAGATGTCATAGTGACGATAAGGAAAGAGTCGTCTTTCTGCTCCAGGTAAAGTCGCAATTCCTTTTAATAGCGTGAAGATGTGACTGGAGCAGGAAGCTCAAAAAAAAAAAAGAAAAGAAACACGCATCTCAACACACACACACAGCCAGTCATAGATATACCTCACTCTTGTTTTCTCACATTGACACACACAAACAAAGCATGCAACCCGTAAAACACAAACACATCTCCATCCAGCTCTGTCCTGCTCATGTCCGACATGTTCCGGGCTACTGAACCCGTCATTTAATTAACGTGGGTTGAGTCTCGGACCAGCTGGAGAGGGACTGTGGCGAAAATCAAACACTTAGATCAGTGTCACGGAGTCCAGATCACCTCAAACCACTGAACTCTGTGAGAACACACACCAGGCCATTGTGATAGCATTCCAGTTGAACCCATAGTATACCGCAGAAAACCAGGACAACGTGGAGGGGAAGGGGGGAGTGAGGAGGGCCGGGGGGAGGTGTGAAGAAAATGGCGATAAAATCAATAAGATGACATAGCTGGGGAGGAGGCACAGAAGTCACTCCACAGCAAGACACCAACGTTGCGATGCTAATTGGCCATTTAGCACCTTGGCCCAAGTCTGGTTTTCAAGTTTGTTCCCATTAAATCTGCATTACGTTTAAATCTCCCTGCTCCAATTTACCCAAACAGATGCTTTAATCTGCAGGGCTCGACAGAACATTTCTACTGGTTACCTTGGAAACAACAAAACCTTAATGCTTTAAAACTTGACGAGCGAGTTGCAGCATCTGCCTCTGCATCAGGTTACAGCTTCTCCACAACAAAGGCATGTCGGTGTGTGCGTGTCCTCCACCTGGATTCACATCATTCAAATCAATGGAGAGATTACACCTTATAAAAGGGGCTTTGTGAGAAGACAAGCACAAAGAGTCAAATGAATGCTGCTATACTCTGAGGGGAACAAGTGACCTTTCTGGGAGAGATGATTCTGTCGTTGACGCTTCACAAGAGACGAGCCTTAAATGTGTCAGCCAGGTTTTGTTACTTCACTTGAATTCCCTTTTTCTAACCAGCTGGGTGGGTGGAGGTTACTGAATCTCTACTAAGACAATTTGGATAACGTTAAAGGAACAGTTTTGGGAGATTTGCTTTTCTGTTTTTTTATTGGCGGTTCACACGTCTGACAGCGAACGAAGCAAAAAAAACTGTGTGCAATAGATCTATATTCCATCTTCGTGGTTGCACATATAAACCAGAATTACCACCTTATGGTTCTATGCCTCTGTCAACCAGTCAAGTTACAGTTGATATCAAGGTCTGTCGAAGCCAAATGAAGCTACAAAAGTTCTAAACCAAACATGCTTCACACACGTCTTCAACCCAGCAGCACAGAAGATCGGTACAGTCCGCACAATTTCCAAGTTAGGACTCAAGACTACCGTCGCCGTTCCATCCAAATGTTAAATATGCTCACAATGTCCCTTTCTCTTCCTAAGTTATGGTTTTGAATAATGTCCAAGAAGTCTGTACTTTTGCTGAACATCATAAAGTCACAATGAAGTCGACCTTTTGGGTATAAATGTCATTGCTTCTATCATTTGAAACTATTGGACAACTGGGGGGAAGCTCTGTCATCATGAATTCTTGAGTTATGACCAAAAAATTGTGTTCCCAAAATGTTGAGCTTTTCCTCTGAGTAACAGATCTGTGCACTCCAAGTAACACTCAGGTCACGTGTGAAAGCATCTAGTCAACAGAGGCACACTAGTTTGAATAGAACTTTATCTAAAAGTACATTTTGAAATGTTTTAACCTTCAATAAAACAGTTTTAGTTGGTGTAACCAGTGATGCGGTTGTCCTACAGCCATCTGATAATCAGGTGATTCGATAAGAGGATTACTTTTTTAAATTCATGATCCAATTGCTAATAATCATCATGAGGGTCCTGCTGTGGAGTGGCCATGTGGCTCTGGTGAGGTGAAGGTGATGGGACTTGGCAGCAGCAGATGAGGGTAAGGTCAGGGCAGGTAGGCGGATGGTGTGGGAGGAGGGGGGGGGGGTCAGGTGAGGTGAGGTGAGGTAGGGTGGGGCTTTCTCGGCGGTACCTGAGAGTCCCTCTCTCCTGTCAGTAACCTGTTGTTGGTTATATCTTTCTGGTCCTTGTCTGCCGCCGTGCACCTAGCATTAACCAGCTGACACACACAACAGGCAACATGTCAACAGAGCATGTGGGGAGGTCGACAGAGAGAGAAAATGGAGACAGGGGAGAGACAGAGGACGGTGCAGGGAAGGAGGAGGAAAGATGTTGTAAGTGGAGGAGAGGGTGAGAGGTTAGAAGCCGTGACCCTCAGCGAGGGTCACTGCGTGGAGGCGTGTTGGTGATCCAGCCTTGCTGTGGGGAGGCAGACATGCAAGGTGGGCAAAATGCTCCTTCTCACACTGAAACTGTAACAAGTAAACAGGATATACAGAATAGAGCACAGAAACTGCCTCGTGAAATACCTCAGCTACAACAGAGGTGTAATATTAATCAATCCAAGGCATAATTCTGACTTGTGGATCGTCATTAAGGACGTTTCCACTCCTCATTTTTAAATCCACTACAATTATGTGATAAAAAAGATATCAAACAACATCTAAAGTACTTCCTTTTAGTTCCACATTGACAAGCTACAATAAAATCCTGTTAAAATGCATTTAATATAAACTTAATATATCATCATATACTTGGCAGTAAGCGTGTTGCTCATAATTCTGCTAAAATTATAAATTAATAAATTAAATCTTGAATGAATAATCTTGAGCTGCAGCTGTGAATGTTTACACTGTCCACTATTTTGCATTGTGGGATTGCCTCTTAACTAAAACCATTGTTCCTTTTTTCCTTTACATACACAATAAAACACAACTGCAAACAAGCAGCAAGCTGTCCTGCACGACTACGCAGTGAGTCCTCCTATACAGTACATACAGCCTCCTGTTGTTGTATCAGATACAGTATATGATGAGGAACAACCAGGGAGTCAGGAGAAATATTTCATTGTTCCCATTTCCCAGCAAGACACTTGCTCAGAATTATCAAACACCAGATCATTTTCTGAGCTGCATCAGGTTATAAATAGTAGGAAGGCCTGTGCTTTTACCTTGCTGTTCTGAAGCAGTCGTGTCAGATGCTCAAAACAGTTACTGTTGAGGAAGATGGCTTGTAGTACTGGCCTGTCTGAACACAGGAACATGTCCCTGATAGTATCTGAAAGACAGCAGGAGTAATTGAGAGAGACAGAAATAAAAACAGAGGGTCACATTAGCTTGACTTGCATCATGTCATGACTAAACACAATAGAACAGCTGAGTGGAAACACAAATGTTGTGTTGTTTAACCCTATAAACCCCAAAACCTCTCTATTTATCCTGGCAAAAATCTGTAAAAACAAGAAAAATCACAATCTTTGAACCAATCGTGTAACTTTCAGTATCTTTAGAAAAAATATCTGAGCTAAAAATCTGGATATTTCAATGTCTCATTGCCAGAAATTGCCAAAAATTACCTGCTTTCAGCGACTATATTCTGTAACAAACAAATAAGTCTGTGCACCTCGGTGCAACCGTGAAGCCACGACTAACTGAGCTGTGCACCGACAGTCATGTGACAAAAATTAAGGGTCTTTCAGTTGAACTGGGCTTTACAGCACACTGTTTACAGACAGCAGACAGAAGACAATGATGGAACCAATTAAACATGTAAGGAGCAAAATATCTATAGTATGTAAAGCTGCCAATTTTTTTTCCCAGTGTTTCAAACACTTGTTGGCACTTGGAAAATATTTTACATGTTAATTCCAAGTTTTTCAATTTATTTAAAGTGTAAAATGAAAGACATTCAACTTTTCTACTTTTGAGTTTTCTCTGCTTTTAGCAATGCTGCAGTGAAAGGTGCAGAACTTTACATTGCAGTGAATAAAAGTGTGACAGGAGCAAAAAAACATCCAAGACCGACTCGGGGTTCAGAGGGTTTAGGTCTCTGTTGTCAGTTGACAGCGTACCTAGCATGTTTACTTGCAGCGCCACAAATCGACTCTCCCAGTGACGGCCCAGTGTCGGCACTCGGCCCTTGGCTTGCTGCTGCTGCTGCTGTCGCGCAGCAACGACAGCCGCTGGGTCCGAGTTGAGCAGCTTGAAGTAGTTTTCCAGCACGGATGCGATTTCCACTTGGCGCTGGTCAGAGCTGGAGGCCAGGAGGCGCTGCACCACCTCCCTCAAGCAGCCCAAAGTCAGCAGCGCCTTGCGGTCGGGGGCCTCGCTGTCCCAGTCTTCGCCCTCATCTGAAGAGCAGCTACCCATGGAGCAGTCAGCCAGCACCCGCATTAACACCTCCATGGTGGCCGGAGAGATTGCAAGCAGAGCGTTCCTCTGCCAGGGACGGAGAGTTTGAGGGAGGGAAACAGTGAAAGGGAACGGGGTGAGTCACAGCAAGTCAGTCAAGATAGGGGCACTAGAAGAACTACCAAGCTGGAGTACAGTAAAGCTGTGATGTGGTCTAGGAGCAAAATGCTTGAGGATAGCAATCAATAGTCTTCTCCTCTCAAACACCACCATCCTCAACATAAAACTGATCATATAGGCTACCATAGCAAACTCCCACTCTTCTATTTCCTACGTGCTCACAGACTTGGAACTATTCTTCATTGTTTGGTGCACTCTAAGCTAACGTCACAGTTGAAGCTGTCAGATCCTTCTCTGCAATAGAAACAGAAAGCCTTAAAGGGCCAATTAGGGGGCTGTTCCTTTAATCGGTCATTCTTACAGTGGAACGCCACCTATTGAGTGGATCAAGGTTTTGCCAACCAGGAGCTTACCTGATCCCCAGCTACTATGGCCCCAAACAGGTGCAGCAGGCAGCATTTCAGACTCTCCTTCAGGTGCTCGCTCTCCTGGAAGCACTCTGAAATGAGGACATACACACAAACACGTGAGTGCATTCGTTTGATGTGGAGACATGATGTCAGCTATGCAAATACAGCATTGTGACAAAACAAAACCGTCGCTCACAGCAAACCGTTGAAGTTCCCGTGCTTTTTATTCCAAACAAATCACTGATGACAGCAGACAAAGACTCTTTCTTTTTTTTTACACACGCAAGGAAGGTCAATGAAATCTGCAAACCAGATAAGATAGGACTTCAGCTATCACACCTAGTGCAGAAACACACACAGGCATGTGGCAGTCCTGCTGGTAACCTCTGGGTCATGGTGGTCCCCAGTCATCCATTAACTCATCTGTCAACACGTCCGACTGGGGAGAAGAAATCTGACATACAGGCTCCGTGATGTCTACTCTCTTTATCCCAATCAGGACTGAACTAAACTACATTCTACTATCTCTGGACAGCAGGGATGGCAGCTTAATACATAAATGAGGCTAATAAAAGGAAACGAGAACCATCAACCGTCTCCAAAGACACTAACACAGTCTATCTGGTTGGTTCCGGTGTTGTCATTAGTGCCAAACCACAGCAGCCACACATACGACACAGAACAGTAGGGCATGTTTGTTCAAAATGGCCGCCAGCGTCGCTGAAGTGGCTTGACAGACACCATTCGCTATCTGCTCATCTCAACCCCTGGCAAGCGCGGCGCGGACACAAAGAGTGGATTCAACAGGACCCGGAGAGGAAAGAGGAGGAGGCAGCGGGACAGAGAGTGACGGCATGAGAGCTCTTAGAAAAAAAAGACTGTCGAGGAGAGGAGAGAAGAGCTCATGTTCTGTAATCGTTAGAGTAGCCGGCTGAGCTGAGGATTGATTCCTCATCCACACCAGAAGAGGCGACTGAAGCAGGAGGTTGGACATCAAGTATGGAAAATCTATGACATGCCAAGAGGTTACCAATAAGAAACGTCACACAGTAAAGTTCAAGTGGGTGTTTTTTTTTATGACAGGTTAAATGATCCTGTCACGTGCAGCTGGTGTTTGTGTCTCAGTCCAATTTACCATAAAAGTTTTAGTTTAACCTAATTTGGCACACAGACAATTTGACACACTGATAAAGAAAGTCGGATCAAGAACTGGAGCGGAAAAACAAGAGACTTACGGTAAAAGAAAGGGACAAACTCAACGGTGAGGGGAGCTGCCTTGTACTTCTGCCTGCTCCTCTCTACGGTACCCAGCTGCTCCCTGGGAACAAACACACATCGGGCACAGATTATTCGTCTTAGAATAAAACCGAATTTGAAGTGTCACGGTGCTTCCAGACAGTGAGAGGATGCTGAGGTCATGTGCAGTGGAAAAAACAAGGAGAGTTGCTGCCACTCTCCGGAATGGGCCACGGCTCTGCCAAAGTTCAAGATGGTTCAACTTTTTTTTTTTTTCTAACTTGCCTCTGCGACTTGCTGTGTGACCATGGCAACCACAGAAACCACAGCGATGGGAACAATACGGGATGGGATTTTACACACATAGCGAGTTATCTGAAAGACAAGCCTCCTCACCAGAACAGAGCAGACAGACCGATGAAGAGGAACGGTATGGGAGCTCGCTGTCTGAAAAAGCACCTTTAATCAGTTTTGGAACCGTGGGAGGTTGTTTAGCTGACACTGCGTCTTTTGTGAGAGCTCGTGAGTTTTGTATCCTCAAATAAGTCATTTTAGTCAAATGCTTAGCACGTCTACATCTCCAGGGATGCACAGGACTGCAGACATCATTTGCAGTCTTACGGCCAAATTATTCCTGCTTTAAATGAGCGAAATGAAAAGAGGGGCTGTTAACAGTGAGTTTAAACCAAGCATGTTTGGAAAAGTAAGTAAGTTCATCCTTAGATAAATGAAAATAAGTTATATAAAAGTGGTGCATACAAAATAACCCACACCAAAACAAAGCAAAAATGCAGTTTGACTCATTAAAATGAGAAAAACACGACCAATCCAGTCTGTATATTCTTGTGCTCAGTGCTAAATACTTGCAAGATGTGAACTTGTGTGAAAGCTGCACAAGCCCCGTGAATGTTTTGTTTACATTATTGTAAAGAAAAGCTAAGCTGGATGTAGTTACCCGCACGTTCGATGCCTCCAGTTGCGGTACGGGTCGTAGAGGCTCTCGCAGAAAGCCAGCGCGTGACGGACAAACTCCTCCGCCTGACTCTGGTCTGCCATCTCCTTCTCTTTGGTCTTGCTCTTCAGCTGTAAGCGCACAGAGAGACCGACTTCACACAGCTGCTGTTACACGTGTTACTCAGACGATGGATAACATTTTAACTTCAAAAATGTGTGCTTATTGTTTACAGAAAAAAAAAAAGGGTGAGAGTCAGACCTGCTGAATGTAGAGTGTTGTCATGGTGATGATGTGATTGATGTAAGAGCAAGTTCCAATCTCCTCCACGTTGGACAGGTTCCTTTCAGAAGCATCCAAACACACACAAGACAAATCAACTCATCCATCATTTGTACTGGTGCATCTTTTCCATTAGGGTATAAAAAACAAAACATATCTTCTCAATATATGTGTTTCCTGTCCAGACCTGCAGATGATGATGAGGAACTTCAGCAGCAGCAGTGCCAGGTTCTGCTGCTCAGGCTCCAGGCCATCGGAGGCTTTCTGGACGCACTGCAGCAGCTGGTGGCGCAAAACCTGCAGGATGTTGTCGGGGAGGAGCGTTAACACCGGGGGAACCTCCTCTGGCCTGCAGACACAGGAGCAACCACAAAGCAGGATCATTAGCAATCTCTATGTGATGCTTATATGGCAGGCTTACTCAGGAGGTTTGTGCCAAATGTGGTGAAGGGAATATTCCGGGTGTTTATAATGGAGGCACTGCTGTAGCATACACAAGGGCAAGTTCATCTGAAGGACCACCATCTGCATTCACTCAATCACACATGCCTGGTGCATTCAGGCATTCACTCTGAGCAAAAACTGCATGTGTGCATATGAGAGAGACACAGAGAGAGAGAGAGCGAGCGCAGCCAAAACCCATGCAGTGAGCGTCGGTGGGAAAGCGGGACAGATGTGGCAGCTGCAGAGGAAGAAGGGAAGAAGATGAAACGAGGACGGCGGGGAGGAAAATGGAGAGAAGACAAAGTGACAGCGGAGGGAGGAGGGAAAAGCAGACGAGGATGGGAGAGAATGAGTCAAAGAAAGAGCAGAAAAGGGAAATAACACAACCAATCAGATTTAACCACCCATGTTCCTCCACCACCCTTTCACACGGCCCTCCCTCAGCTATAAGGGTTCTAGCTGTTCTAGCCGATGTTTATGTGATCACAACTGGCAGCGCAGCCGAGACATCAAACCAGTTTCCACTGTCAAACACTGGATGCGGGCTTTCAGATGAGCACTGAGGGTCTCTCGCGTTAATCTGCAGCATATTCTCAGGTGTCATCCCAAATCAGAGCATCACAACGTGTAGCCGCTCCACACAAAAGCATCTGTTGTGGCTGTGCTATTTTGGGTTTTTGCGCTGTGGAAGTGTGTGGTCATGCTGTGGATGACGCATACGAGAACCCACTCCTGACGACCTAGAAAACTGAAGTGGTGTATTAGTACGTGTGATTGGGAGGTCGGGGAAATTATGTGATTACAGGCAGACGGAGGGTGACGGGTTACTGCGCAGGATTAAATAACAATAGGGCATTAAATCAACACAGTAACACATCTGTTATAAGTGCATGTGGAGGGGAGGCTGGAACAAATAGTTAAAAATAATGGGTAAAAGATTACATTGTCAGCCAAATACTATATATATATTAATACATATATCTGTCGCTTTTTTGACTGAAAGCGAAGGATAAATGATAAAAAATACCCAAAAAATAATCTTTAAGTAGTGAGTAAATTTAGAAAAATGACAATTCAACCCATCCACCCATTTCTTAGTCTTCTTGGGATAAACTATTTTATATTTCCGGTTAGTTTTGGTTAAACGGGATAAGAATTCAGGACTCAATGTGACTTCTGATAACAGTTTTAAATACTGCTTTCTAAAATAAATGTAGAAATATGTTTGTTATTGTCAAACAGGGTATTTCTGGGATCAGAATGGGGCTTTTGGTTGTGACGGTGATCATGACCAGTCTGCCTGAAGACCTTATTTTATCTATTTTGACCATTTGATAAACCAAATCGTCTTTTGTGCTTGACAAAAAAATAAAACCTCAACCAAGAAAATTGGTAAAAAATATAAATGTAGTTTTTATTCTAATGTCTTCTGATTTGCCCGTAGTTTTGACACTCTTTAGGGGTCACCAGAATTCCCCCTGTGCAGGAAAAACAGTCATCGTGAGCTTCAAGTGATTATAATCACAGTTTACAACGAGTTACCTTGAAGGTGGCTTTTCAAAGTCCACATCGAGGCATCGCTCATAGGAGCTGATGAAAATCTCCAGCCATAGCTTCAAGTAGTCTGGATCCCTCTGAGAAAGGAAATAGGTAGAGCGAAGAGAAGTATAGATGTAGAAGTGAGAATCAGAGAGAGGTGAGAGTGAGGACATAAAAACATGAGACAATACGTTTAGTTGCCTTTGTTGACAAACGCCGTCAAGCTTAAAATAAATGAATGTCTGGTAGCTGACAAGCCTTGTCTGCAGTTTGATTGAATGTATTGTTGTGTAGCGCTGTTGTTGTTGCATGATCAGTGCATGTGTGTAAAAGATCCCTCTGTGACTTCCACTCCCAGACAACAATAAGCCACAAACTTTTTTCGTCTCTCTGTAATTCAGAACTATAGTGACAGCAGATCTTTCAAACGCTCGAGGAAATGTTTTCATTGCTTCAAGGACTTAAACGCTTAAACCTCAGACATTCAGCTTCATGTCCTGAAGCAACAATGAAAGAAAAGTGACAAGATATGCAGGCTATTCTGCATATTATGTAAAGACGGAGACGTTGGGCTGCTAACAAAGCACGCTAAACACATGAGAACAGGAATGTCTCAGGTGGGTGTGGGCATGGATCTTATCTTCCTCCGAGGGCGCGGAAGCTAAAGCATGCACCTGTTGCAGTGGAAAACGGGTCGGGCCGCATTCTAAGACCGAGTGTCTAGGAGTCGGCTGATCGGCATTTCCTAAATTCCTGGAAAAATGCCCAGAGGAGGACGGGGTGGCAACATCAGCCGGGGGGGAGGAGTGGCTCGGCTCAGCCGCAGGAACAAACACAGAAACACAAAACTACTACACATAAGAACTGTAACGATGTGTTAATTTACTGAGAATACTCCCACAATACCCTACCTGTTGTTTAGTGCTGAGACTATGAGCTTTAACTCTTATGCAATACACATGGAGAACAACAGTATCGCGTCTCGTCATTATTACAATAACTGACAGGTGGAACAGAAACGAGTCACTCCAACACTCAACACTTTAGACTGTAAATACCATTTAATTTTCATTTATGTAATCAAACCATCACCACCTAAGAATGTGAACTGGGGACACTGAGAACAAATGCCTAAAAGCAACGCATACTGGAATTTTATTATGCATGTAATCTCCTAATACTGAACATAATAGGAGGGCGTGTGCTGCAGAAACAACATTTCCAGGCAGAGCTGTTCTGCATAAAGCAGGACTGATACCAGCAATGACTCATAGTTTTGATTAACCTTCCATTTATTTCCTTATTGATCTATTAACTGTTTTTTTTTATTCACAAAATCCAAAGTCCATCCCATGAAACCAATCAGCAGCGTGTGCAGCACATGGAATGCAGTTTTGAATTCCTCATACAGGAGTAATCACGAGCTCACAACCCCCCCAGCGGAGCCTGTCATTGGGACTTTGAGCCATATGGAGGGTGTGAGTGTGCGATCTAGGTCAAGGAGGGCTGAGGAGGTGATCAGGGCAGATTACAATAACAATAGGCTGTTTATTGAAGTGCATTCGGTGTTGCTTGACCAGCGGTCGTTTTGTTAGCCATTAATTAAGATAATAACGTAGCGGGAGCCTGTGACACGTTGATGGAGCTGGAAGAAAACGCAGGTGCTTGTTAGAACTTTATGATTCACTCTGTGGAGAAGTGTCTGCAGTAAATGTTATGACAATCCATCCAACAGAGCGGAGAACGTGTGAGAGCTACGAGGCTGTGGCTGCACAAGGATCATGTGCATAAATGTTGAAGTGCTGCAGTGATTAAAGCTTCTGCTCTACAAAATGTACATTAAGGCTAAGACGACCAGCGCTGACATTTTACACTATTAAGGCTGCACGATGGAAAGTTCTAGCTTCAATATTGTGCACATGCAATAATGCCATCCCAGGATGTGAGAAGTAAAGTGGGGCAAAATAAACTTAAGCACACTGTGCAACTTCTTCAGCAGGCACTCTTGCAATCGTTTCAACCACCAAAGGAAACACAACTAATTTGTTTGGTCATTTAAATCAGCTGCTGTTTGGTGAGTGCAAAACCAGATCTGAACACCATCCAAGGAAAAAAACTATTTTGGACGCCTTCAACAAATGTTCCAAAGGGCTTTTTTAAAATATTTTTTTCTTTCTTCTGATGCAGATTCACTCCCCTTACAACTACAATTTTCAGAATAAGATCTGCTTTAGGGGCTGCAAGGTGGCTCGGCGGTTAGCACCGTTGCCTCGCAGCTAGAAGAACACCTGGGATCTCTCTGCAGTGGAGTCTCCATGTTCTCCCCGTGCAGCGTGGGTTCTCTCCGGGTTCTCCGGCTTCCTCCCACAGTCCAGAAACATGTTGAGGTTAATTGGTGACTCTAAAATATCCGTAGGTGTGAATGTGAGTGTGCTTGGTTGTCTGTCGCTAAGCAGTGTATACATAATGGATGGATGGATCTCCGCTTTAATGTATTTTATTGTCTTGTCACCTTCTTCCACCACTGCTGTGACTTCCTATCATGTGCTAAACCCCTGAGAACATCCCATGATACCAACTGGAGACGGACTGAAACAGGATCAAAGGACCGCAGACAACTCATGGGCTAATTCACAGTATTTGCAATCATGACATAAAATAGCTTGCAGATTATAGCTTAAAACTAAGAAGAAAAAAAAACACAGACAGTGACTGGAAAAACTTGGGTTTTCTCAGGATAGCACCGCCATCTGTCTACAGAGTGGGAGAGGGGCTGAGAGGGAGGCTGACTGCTTCTGTCTGCGTGTCAGAGTGGGAATCAGCCAGAACGGAACAGGAAGCCAGCGCTGTGTAATTCCTAGTGAAGTCATCAGAACAATCCTGCGACGCTGGCTTGTGTGTGTGTGTGTGTGTGTGTGTGTGTGTGTGTGTGTGTGTGTGTGTGTCAGAGAACCAGGGAAACAGAACGAAGAAAAGAAGGAGACGGACGTCAGAACAGAATAATCCACAGTAGCAATGTGCTCTGCTGGGAGAACATCTCACCTTAACCGCATAAATCACTGACAGCACAGAGAGAAAACGTTTATTACTGGATGCTGCCGACGCTGTTCTTTACCTTCGGTGACAAACACTCTATTGTCTTTGTGTGTGAGCGAATGCCACTGCTAGAAAATCTGAAGATGATGATTTAAGCCAGTAGCTTCCCTCTCAAGTGACTGGGCTTGCTCGCAGCAGCCACTGAATGAATGTGTGTGTGTGTGTGTGTGTGTGAGAGTGTGTGTGTGAAAGAATGTCCTCTTTTAGGCAGCAGCTTGGGAGCACAGATGCCCATTGAGGGTTTGGACTGTGGCAGGCGGGGACACACCCTGCTCTACATGGCTCTGTTTATCCTTGGCCTTCATCACCGGCCTGCCACACACACACACACACACACAATGATGTACAACTAGAAGCCCTAACTTAATAACAGTCACCTTGTCCCAACTCTCACAATCATCTTGTGTCCCAGTGTGCATACAAACAATTCCCATGAGCGGCTCACGTGGCTCTCCAGTGGGCTCCATTATCACGTTCGGCTGGGTGCCAGGCTACTACATCACATTCCTACAGATCTGTTTAGGTTGACCTCTGTGAAGATAACAAGGTCGCCAGCGTTACAGATCAATGCGCTTCATTCTTGAAATTGAGACCTCTATTGACGAACAGATCGGTGGGAGGGTCGGGTTGCTCTGGGTGGAAGCGCTGATCGAGCATCAGGATCCACCGACGGCCCTCGTTTACTCTCACGCAAGCGATGACGTCCAAGAATGTGAATCAATCAAAAGAAAATTAATTGGCTCCTGTTTTGGCTCCTCTTTGTCGTATTTCTTTCTCCAGCTACCTCAGATTGTGAACATCGACCAAGAAAAACAACACTGTGGAAGGCATCATGTGGCTTTGCAAAGTTGTGAGGAGCATTTTCCCCTCATTGTTTTTTAGGTTTCACAGACAAAACTATTAAAAACAATCAGCAGAAGGCAGGCAACTGGTGGATACACCTTGGACAGGTCTGGAGGACTGACAGACAGACCAAGCCACACACACTCACAGTCCACATACCTACAGCCAATTTAGAATCACAAATGAACCTGCCATGCACGCTATTGGGCTGTGGGAGGAAACCTACGTAGGCGCACAGCGAACATGCAAACTCTGCCCTTCTTGTTGCAAGGTGACAGCGCGTCATACTGTCAACAACCAAAGAAAAGGCCCGACATAGTTCCCTACAGCTGAAGCATTTAGAGAGCTTCATTTATGCAAACAAAAGTCCACCACCCAAAAACATTTAATTTACCACCATAGGTAAAGTAAAGCATCAAATCCAGACACCTGAAAGGCTGGAATCTGCACATATCTGGGATTTAGTGCTTGATTCTAGTTCAATCAAACACTGGTCGCAGCAGCTTTACTTTTTTGGTGCTTACGGTATTTCATGGTCGCTCTGTTACACTCAGCAACACATCTGTGTATGGAAGAAGCTAAAGTTGTGGAGTAACTGACGACTTGCAGGACGACAAAGTGTTCCCATTTCGTTTGTGTCATGCACCCGTATGAGGAAGCATATTATAGGTGTTGATTCCACATTGTTTTACTGATCAACAGTCGGTGATAGCAAACAAGATAAACACAGATGCATTTAATGCGACGTTTTTTCAGCGTTGTAAATGTTTTATGGGAAACCAAGCACACATATTTTCTTTGTTACACTGTGAGGGTCCCTACAATGCATTTTGGTGAAATATAAGTTTGTGAACATCCATCCATCATCTATAAACCGCTTAATCCTCACTAGGGTCATGGGGGGCTGGAGTCTATCCCAGCTGACTCAGGGTGAAGGCAGGTTCACCTGGACAGGTAACCAGTCTATCACAGGGCTACACTTAGAGACAGACAACCAAGCACACTCACATTCACACCTACAGACAATTTACAATCACCAATTAACCCCGAGAGAACCCACGCTGCACGGGGAGAACATGGAGACTCCACGCAGAAAGATCCTCACCGGGACGCGTACCGGCAACCTTCTTGCAGCGAGGCGACGGTGCTAACCACC